GGTTGCTGTGAGCTGTAATGCCACGGCACTCTACCCAGGGGGACAGCTTGAGGCTCTGTCTCAAAAAAAAAAAAAAATAGAAAAGATACAGGCCGGGCGCGGTGGCTCACACCTGTAATCCCAGCACTCTGAGAGGCTGAGGAGGGTGGACTGCCTGAGCTCATGAGTTCAAGACCAGTCTGAGCAAGAGTGAAGCCCTGTCTCTAAAAAAAAATAGCCAGGTGTTGTGGCGGGAGCTTGTAGTTCCAGCTACTTGGGAGGCTGAGGCAAGAGAATCACTTGAGCTCAATAGTTTGGGGTTGCTGTGAACTATGATAGGACAGCAGTCTACAGAGGGTGACAAAAGTGAGCCTGTCTTAAAAAAAAAGACATACTTACCTGGCAGGGAAGATACTATGATCACAAAGGTAGTTTCCCCAGGGCGAGGCTTATATATTGCACTCTGGATGTGCTGAGCCCTGTGATTTCCCCAAATGTGGGAAACTTGACTGCATAATTTATGGTATAGGAGGACTGCGTTCACTCTTTCCCCTTAAAAAAAAAGCAATAAAATAAAATAGAGATATAAATAGTATTAATTTCCTAAAGTTGTAAGGATCAAAGAAGAATAAATGAGATGAGATTTTGTTAGTGTTCAATAACTGTTGGTTGGTAGAATTACAGGAATGTGGTAAGAATCAACTGAGATAACTATAAAAACTGTAAATTGTGCAAGTGTAGTCACCGTGAGAGGGTGGCTTCTAGCCCTCCCATGTACAGGGAACAATATAACTGACCAAGGGCCCAAGTTGTCTTGCTCTGAAGTCTACACCACCTTTGCACTGAGGCCCTGCTGAACTAAATGCTCCCTAGATGATGACTCAACTTGGCTGGATTTCTAAAGCAGGCGTGAGACTGGAAGACCCTGAGACTAGCTGACTTTGCTTCAAAGACTCCCCTGACAGCCTTGCCACGCCTTCCTTGGGCTGTGTGGTGGACTAAGGAAGCACTAGGAATTCATCCCCCCTCCACCCAGACAGTAAATGCAGGGCAGAATCGTCTGATGTAACTATTTTGGAATTCTGGGAGTCTATTGAAAACTTGCAAATTGTAGAGAAGGCTTGGATGTGAAATTGTGTTGCGTTTCAATCAATTACAACTCTCAGCTCAGCTACAGCTATGCATAGCCCACACCCCCAGCCCCATAGTTTCCTAACTATTCCTGCATCCGGACAGCAACCTGCAGACAGCTTGCTGGGGCCAGGTTGGCAATAAGGACTATGTCCCGAAATATCACAGATCTGTGTTCTCATCACTGATTACTGCTTCTGACCAAGGGGGTGCTGAGACAGAAATGAGCAGCCACTGTTGTACCTTCCCCCTTGTTGCAAGCCCTTCTCTCCAGCTGAAGTGACTTCAAGGACTGAAAGGGCCAGTGCTTTTTTTTACCATCATTTTTTCTCTTCCTCCTTTTGGGAGCCAGATATTGAAAGACTAGAAATTTAAAAAGCATAAATGGGCTCGGCGCCTGTAGCACAGTGGTTGCAGCACCAGCCACATACACCGAAGATGGCGGGTTCAAACCTGGTTGGGGCCAGCTAAACAACGACAACTGCAACAAAAAATAGCCAGGCGTTGTGGCAGGCGCCAGTAGTCCCAGCTACTTGGGAGGCTGAGACAAGGGAATTGTTTAAGCCCAAGACTTTGAGGTTGCTGTGAGCTGTGACGCCACAGCCCTCTACCGAGGGCAACAAAGTGAGACTCTGTCTCAAATAAAAAGCATAAATGGGGGAAATAGTTATTGCACATGACCAGGGAAAGGTACAGGATCCAAAAAGACCTTAAGTTAGACCTTAGGCTTATCCCTGGCACAGAAACAGCCCAAAGCAGTAAAAACTGAACCAGCAAATCCTGGGGAAGAGGAGAGTTCCAATGTTACAATATTACTAGATTCAAATGTTCACTTTTCTTTTTTTTTTTTGAGACAGAGCCTCAAGCTGTCCCCCTGGGTAGAGTGCCATGGCATCATAGCTCACAGCAACCTCCAACTCCTGGGCACAAGCGAGTCTCCTGCCTCAGCCTCCCAAGTAGCTGGGACCACGGGCACCCACCACAATGCCCAGCTATTTTTTGGTTGCAGCCGTCATTGTTGTTTGGCGGGCCTGGGCTGGATTCGAACCCGCCACCTTGGGTGTATGTGGTTGGCGCCTTAGCCACTTGAGCCACAGGCGCCAAGCCCAAATGTTCACTTTTCAACAACAAAAAAATTCACAAGGCAGACAAAGAAACAGGAAAGTTTGTTTGGCCCATTCAAAGGAAAAGGTTAACCAAGAGAAACCATCCCTTAGAAAGACCAGATAGCAGGACGGTGTCTGTGGCTCAGCGAGTAGGGCGCCAGCCCATATCCTGAGGGTGGTGGGTTTGAACCTGGCCTGGGCCAGCTAAACGATAATGACAACTGCAACAAAAAATAGCTGGACAGCCGGGCTTCGTGGCTCACACCTGTAAACCAGCACTGGAAGGCCGAGGAGAGTAGACTGCCTGAGCTCATGGGTTCAAGACCAGTCTAAGCAAGAGCAAAACCCTGTCTCTAAAAAAGTAGCCAGGCACTGGGAGGCATGGGAGGCTAAGGAGGGAGAATTGCTTTATATCAGGAGTTCGAGACTCACCTGAACGAGAGTAAGACCCTGGCTCATGAAAAAAATGGAAAAACCCAGCCGAGTGCCTGTAATCCCAGCGGTTTTTGGAGACTGAGGCAGTGAGATACCCACAGCCCGAGTCTGAGGTTGCAGTGAGCTACCATGCCACTGCACTATGCTCAGGGGCATAGGGTGGGACTGTGTCTCAACATCAATAACAACAAAAAAGCTGGACATTGCAGCAGGGGCCTGTAGTCCCCAGCTACTGCTGTAAAAAAAAAAAAAAAGAAAGAAAGAAAGACCAGATAGCAAATCTACTAGAAAGACTTTAACCATCCAGACCAGGTGTTGGAGACCACTTCTGTAATCCTAGCACTGTGGGAGGCTGATATAGGAGGATCCCTTGAGTTCAAGAGTTTGAGACCAACTTCAGCAAGAGCAAGACCCCACCTCTACTAGAAGTAGAAAAAATTAGCCAGGTGTTGTGGTGGGTGCCTGCAATCTCAGCTACTTGGGGGATGAGGCAGGAGGATCACTTGAGTTTGAGGTTGCTGTGAGCTAGGCTGACTTCAAAGCACTCTAGTCTGGGGCAACAAAATGAAATTCTGTCTCAAAGAAAAATAAAAAGGATTCATAAATTAGCTGTCCAAAAATGCTCAAAAAACTAAAGGAAGAAAAACAAAATTTTTTTTTGAGACAGAGCCTCAAGCTGTGCCTCTGGATAGAGTGCCGTGGCATCAAAACTCACAGCAACTTCCAACTCCTGGGCTCAAGCGAGTCTCCTGCCTCTGCCTCTCAAGTAGCTGGGACCACAGGTGCCCACCACAACACCCGGCTATTTTTTGGTTGCAACCATCATTGTTGTTTGGCAGCCCAGGCTGGATTTGAACCCGCCACCTTAGGTGTATGTGGCTGGCGCCTTAGCCACTTGAGCCACTGGCACCGAGCCTGAAAAAAAAAATTATTTTTTAAGTCAAGAAAACAATGTGTCAACAAAATGGAACTTAAAGAAATGAGAAAACCTAAAAAGTAACCAAAAAGAAATTACAGAACTGAGAAATTTTAAAAATCATTACAGGGATTCCAAGGCAGACTTGAGCAGGCAGAAGAAACAGAGAAGTTGAAGACAGAACAGTTGAAATATTGAGTTTAGGGCTCGGCGCCTATAGCTCAACCGGCTAAGGCGCCAGCCACGTACACCTAAGGTGGCGGGTTCGAATCCCCAGCCCGGGCCCGCCAAACAACGACGGCTGCAACCAAAAAATAGCCGGGTGTTGTGGCGGGCGCCTGTGGTCCCAGCTACTTGGGAGGCTGAGGCATGAGACTCGCTTGAGCCCAGGAGTTGGAGGTTGCTGTGAGCTGTAATTCCATGGCACTCTACTAGGGGGATAGCTTGAGGCTCTGTCTCAAAAAAAAAAAAAAGAAATATTGAGTTTAAGGAAGAGGAAGAAAAAAGATGGAAGAAAAATGAGCAGAGCCTATGGGACCCATGGGACACCATCAAGCTCAAGACCAATATACACATTATGAGAATTCCAGAAGGAGAAGAAAAAGGGACAGAGAATATTTAAAGAAATAATGGCCCAAAATTACCCAAATTTGATGAAGATATTAACGTAAATATCCAAGAAGCACAATGAGCTTGAAGTAGGATGATCTCAAAGAGACTAACACTAAGACACATTATAATTAAACTGTCAAAATCCAGAGACAAAGATCAGACCCTGAAAGTGGTGAGATAGAAGTGATTTGTTACATACAAGGACTCCTTAATGAGATTAAGAGCAGATTTCTCCTCAATAACTCTGGCAGCAGTGAATTGACATAATTAAAGTACTAAAAGGGAAAATGAAACAAAACTGTCAATCAAGAATTTTTTATCTAGCCGGATGTTGTGGTGGGCGCCTGTAGTCCCAGCTACTCGGGAGGCTGAGGCAAGAGAATTGCCTACACCCAGGAGTTGGAGGTTGCTGTGAGCTGTGTGATGCCACGGCACTCTACTGAGGGTGATAGAGTGAGACTCTGTCTCTACAAAAAAAAAAAAAAAAAAAAAGCATTTTCTATCGGCTCAGCACCCATAGCACAGTGGTTACAGTACCAGTACCAGCCACATGCACCGAGGCTGGCAGTTTGAATCTAGCCTAGGCAAGCTAAACAACAATGACAACTGCAACAAAAAATATAGCCAGGCGTTGTGGCAGGCACCTGTAGTCCCAGCTACTTGGGAGGCTGAGGCAAGAAAAATGCTTACGCCCAAGAGTTTGAGGTTGCTGTGAGCTGTGATGCCATGACACTCTACCCAGGGTGATAGAGTAAGACTCTGTCTCCAAAAAAAATCTTATATCTGGCAAAACTGACCTTCAAAAGTGAGGGGAAATGGCTCAGTGCCTGTGGCTCAAGTGGCTAAGGCACCAGCCACACAGACCTAAGGTGGTGGGTTCGAATCCAGCCTGGGCCCGCCAAACAACAACGACAGCTGCAACCAAAAAATAGCTGGGTGTTGTGGTCGGAGCCTGTGGTCCCAGCTACTTGGGAGGCTGAGGCAGGAGACTCACTTGAACCCAGGAGTTGGAGGTTTCTGTGAATTGTGATGCCATAGCACTCTACCCAGGGGGATAACTTGAGGCTGTCTCAAAAAAAAAAAAAAAAAATAAAAAGGAAGATTAAGAAAAATACTTTTGGTGAATTATAGAAGAAAGTATAATTTGTTTTAGGTTTGTATGCTATGGCACGCCACCACACTAGACAGGGGGACACAGTGTGACAAACTAAAAAAAAAAAAAAAAAAAAAAAAAACTGAGGGGAAAATTATGACATTCCCAGATAAACAAAAGCTGAGAAAGCGATCCAATAGATGTGACCTTCAGCAAATGAGAAAAGGAGTTCTGCATGTTAAAATGAAAGGTATCTAGACAG